ACCACAGAAATAATAAGAGGCTACTAATTATAGTATTAATTCGAAATTAGCATGAATTAATTCTTACTATAATTAATTGCAATTTATTCCACTAAAAAACTGCAATTGGACTCCTCAATATGAATTTCGAAAATTCATTAACACTTATTTTAACTCCCCATGTTAAGATTTCAAATACCAGTTAATTAAATTAAATTACTGAAAATTTAATTCAATTAACTAATTAAATCCTTTATAATTCCGCTTAAACTATTTCATGTGATGGATACAAATTCCACCGGCCGGGTTTGCACATGAAAACTTATAAGCTTACATAAAGGGGTATCATCAAACCCAAAACCGAGTCACGGATTCTATCAACTAATTATTATTCACAAATATTACTCGTTATTGTCCAATCTATTAGGCATGTACTAACTCTAAATAGAGTCGTACCTTTTGATAAATCAAAACAATAAACAAATTACATTGATCATAATAATTATATCAAGATTAGGAGTATAAGCTCATTTAATGAATTAGAGAAAATGTTTTATATATTCAGTACAAAAACATCTTTTCTCTACTTGGTCCGTTCAATATACACTGAGTATACTAGCACAAGAAGTTGGAGTAAAATTACTCCCATAATCAAGACAAATTATACAACAATCTTGTGCTACAATCATCAAGATATTTTGTCCAACAATATCTTTGATTGTGAACATAGTTTATTAATTATGAGAACCAACAATTTAATCTTCTGTGCATGAGCTAAGACTCCATACACTAAATTATCTACTACATAACTAAAAGGACACACATGTAACAAATGATCTATTTAAAATAGTACTTTATTAAATTGAATAAATTAAATAAATAATTGTTCCATAAAGAATAAAATATAATACTATGTCCAAACTGCATGATTAATAGTATATCCCAACATCTATTGCATCGAGATTTTAGATCCACCACGTTAAACGAACACAACAGTTGCAGTTGCATTGGTGTTTTATTTATCTCCCTCAAGTGTACAAAAGGAGAGACCCGCAAAGCCTACAAGCAGTATATGCCAATGAATCCACCGACATCTTTGGATAATTGGCAAGCATGACGAACAAGCGTATCTAGAGCCAAGAAAAAATCAACGCACCCATCAATTGGCGGGTCCAACCACCAGTTCGTGGGTCAAACATAACTCAGTATTTTGGAGTTGAACCCAATCGATGCACACGCCAAATCAAATGCTCCATAAATAGAGTTAGATATTCATTTTAGAATTAACTCTGCCAGCTCAAAACCCACTCATCAATTCATAACCCACAATGTCTAAATTTCGAAGACGCCGCGGCTCCCACCTTATTTTTCATCACCCTCTGTGCGTGATCCATGAGATAGACTATACAGTAGGATTATCCTTCGCCAACTCAGTTGTTTAGAAGACAAAGCTGATATTATGGATAAGACTTTTTACCACATGGGAATCGACAACCAAGTTTACACCCACAGGCCAACAGAAACATGATAACAAGTCAAAGGAGCATTATCCAGTTACACGCCTGGATCCAACTATGCAGTTCACTGTTTACTTTGCTCAATTTGATAAAGTATTGGGTAAAAATCCAAACTAGTGTTCCAAAACCTTGTTTGATATAACAGCACCAAGAGCGCTATGTCGGCGTTAATGACTTGATGTCACTAAACATCATCATGTAAATAAGGAAACCAAAAAAAAGAAAGCAAAAAGTAAACTTCAAATCATGTAGCCAGACCTCTAGGATGGTTTATCATTCTATCAAGTTGAAAAAGTAGCAATTAACTGTTTCCATCCCAAGGTTCTCCTTTCCAATTTTCAGAGATTACCTCAGTAAAAAATGGTTATTCATCTTTTTTAAATTCTTAGGCTAAAAAATGACCCAGTATTAGAAGGCAAACTACTCAAACTGATTAACTGACAACGGAGCACTTCAAATTCAAAGTCAACAGCACGTTATAGAGGCAACTTGGATCACATTTGTTCACAAAAGTAAACCCAGTCAGATATCCACACCACTCTACTAAGTTGCACGATAAAAGCCAATATCGGTTTGTATCTACATTAGTGATCCTGCACTTTCCACTATATATTTATAGACTTCATGCCCTGAAATATAAACTAGTAGCAAAGAAGATGTGGAACGCGGATACATCTGAGACTGGCAAACAATTTTCCATTAAGACTAAAAGAAACATTAGAGGTTTCATCAGTTTTAAGTTACATGACTGCTACCTTATCTTACTTGAGCGTACAACTGATGCATAAGCAGTAGTGCCATGTTGCGTCTCAATGGAGTTAAATTGATTTACAGGAATCAATATTCTTTAAACCACCATGGAAACAACCTTCATACAATTTCACTGCAGTTGGATAATACAAGAAATCATATGTACATAGACCATTCGTAGTTGAGCAACATAACATGATTTAACAGTTGAGCAACATAACATGATTTAACACACTCGAGAGGCCCTAAGAACATATAAAAAGGAAAATGTCCAACTACATTAGTTATTAATGTAGTGACAAGACGAGAACAATTTCAGTATGAGACAGGATAATCTGCTGTAACAGAAGAGAGTGCGGGAGAAGTCAGTCTGCTGTCCAGCTCTGTTCAACAATCTCGCGCACCTTCCTGTTGTATTCACGCTTGTTCTCACTGAACATGCGTGCTGCTTCTGAATTAGCTGGCGAGTTGGGATTTGGATCACAGAGCAAAGACTGCACTAGGAAAAATCACATGTAAGGGGTCTAATCAATAGCAAAGATGCTACTAGCTTGTAGGGTTCTCTCTCTTTTACAAAAGCAGCAAGTGCATTATTTTTTTCTAAGCAAGTAAGAAAGACGGCCACCTATTTTTATATTTAGCAAGCAAGAAAAATGGGCACATACTTTCATATTTCGCAGGTAGAAAAAGGGGCACCTTTAAGAGTTTCTTAGGTGAGAACTTAAATTGTGAAATTTTTTGCTTGAAACAAATAGAACTTAAACAAGATGAAGAAAGACTTCCATGGAGTGCTGGATGATGAAAATTACAAAAATCCTCATATAATAGTTTCTTGGGTGATTACTTATATTGTGAAGAAATTTGCTTGAAACAAATAGAGAACTTAAACAAGATGAAGAAAGACTTCCATGGAGGACTGGATGATGAAAATTACACAGATGTTCATAAACGTGCAGAAGAACCTAGTAATGACCTTAAGGGAGAATCATAAATTTGAGTATAAGCTTCAGAAGTACATTTTGGACATAAACCTCATCTTCAGGGAAAGCTACAATACTCATCTTCAGGGAAAGCTACAATACCTTTATTATTGTTTTTCCTCCATTTTTTTTATCATTTCTTTAATTATCACATCAAACATAGTATATTGGCATCTATTAGTATACTTCATCAGCTATTTTAAACCAAGGAAGTAGGCCTGCTTTCCCAACTTATCCCAAATATTAGATATTTATTTCTCTTCATTGTATGCTATCCCTCACACCTCATTTCAAAGAGAGCAATGAGAACATAAGGGGAACTCATACAGAACTGTGCTTTACTGGAGCAATAGATGGAAAATACTTGACCGGTGAAGAATCATGCTCTTACTGATAAATAGAGATGGCGCCAAAAAATGTAGTAGGAGAATAGTTCACAGCTATAGAGTTGAACTAGATATTAAATCAAAGCAGTCCTTAACATGTTAATATAAATGCCAACTGTAACCAGGGTTTAATCATTTGACTTCCGTCTGTTAGTGTGCTTGGAATACATATCTCTCCAACCCCACCCCTGAGCCCAGAAAATATATTTAAATATGAAGGTCATATTAATCTAATTGATTTTAAGATTATCTAAAAAGGGAGGAACAATGTTGCATTTAAAAAACCTCAAAGTACCTGGATTGAAGTCAGTATAGCAGCTACATCATATATGGGACTCCATTGATTTTGCAGGATGTCCAAGCAAATACTTCCATCAGCGTAAACTGAACAACAATAAGACAGATATTAAGAAATCAGCAAAAGCCGAATATTGTCCAAAACTACTATGTGCATCGGAAAAAAGGTTCAAATATAAGGGGTAATACAAAATGCTTGTAAGCAGCAACAAGCTTAAACCATTTAGAAGAAAATAGGAGATATTGGATAAGCTTTTCTACAAGAAACAAATGGAAAACAGAGGATACACATGATCTGCCCATAAATTGTCCAACTCTCTCAAGCAACCAAGAAACTATGGGGTTTTTGGTCACGGACTAAAATATGTTATTTCCTTCAAATTTACCCTAGTTTTGGTTCTAATTTCGGGAATCAAATTGTATCTCATCTCAAATTTTTCCGTCCGTCGTGGTCAAAGTACACAAAATTGTTTGACCGGATCCAGTACGGATCCATACCCACCATATATTAGTGTCGTGTCTACATGGGTGCGGCACCTAAATTGTTGTGTCTGGGCAACTTAGCAGTCAAAGTACCCAAAATTGTTTGACCAGATCCGGTACGGATCCATACACACCATACTAGTATCATGTCTACATGGGTGCGGCACCTAAATTGTTGTGTCGGAGCAACTTGGCAGTTAAACACTGAATAGTAATACATGAACTGTTATGTAGAGATCGCCTACTTTAAGCACATTGTTGTCCTTAAATATCCTTATCCAAGTATTGCCAATACACATTCTTATTTGAGATTTTACCCTGAAAATAAGTCACTTTTCCGGTTTTCCCTGAAAAGCCCAAACGGTGCAGTAGTTATGCAGAGATTTATAGGAAACCAAACATGTTATTAGTTATGTAGCGAGAACATCAGTACAACCAATTTTTAGGCAACCAAATGTTGTATAAGTTATGCTGGATTCTATACCGAGATTATTTTACTACACCTTAGAAAAAACAACCCTGTCTAAACATTAATTGATTATATGGTGCTCAGCTTGCTTTGGCCAGTTTGGATCTGAAAAAAGGCATATTAAGTAATTTTTTATGCCAAAACATTTGGTGTAGCAGAGTACTCTCGTTTTCGTTTGCACCTAAGTGTAACCTATTGGTCGATGAAGTTGGTACAACCCTTGGAGATCAAGGTTCAAATCCCAAATCCCAGCAGAGACAAAAAATACTATGTAATTTGTTCCCTTTGTCTAATCCTTGGTAGGTTGAGTTGCTAGGTACGTATACTGGTGAGACGTAGTAGGTACCTGGTGGAATAGTCAATAAATGCAAAGGCTGGCCCGGACACCATGGTTATAAAAAACCATGGAGGTGTCGCTGAACGGGCTTCCTTTTCCTTCTATCTGGCTCAAGAGTAAGGGTAACTTATAGACACAGGCAAAAAGAATACCCTTGGTCAAGTTGAACAATGAGCAATATTACCCTTTCTAAGGAGTACAGTTATGCCCAAAAAAACAAAAGAAAGGGTGGGGGTTGGGGGNGTCCTCTGAGAATTGAAGTGTCAGCTTAAATGTACCTGTGAAGGAAAAATGTCGCCAGGATAATTAGATTCAAGTGGAATAAATAACATATTATAAAGTAAATAAAACACATGTGACATGTGCCCCTCCTTTTTCTCAGAGGAGGGGAATAGCAGATGAAAAACAGAGCAAAAGATAATGCTGAGAAAGATCAAGGAGAACTAAAAACAGGGGTAATGCACCACTAGACACTAGAAGCCCAGAAAACCTTCTTCACTTTGAAGATGGAGCATCCAGAATTAAAACCAAAGCATAGTGCATTCAAAGAGCCCTTGAAATGCAAGTATACAACACTAAATCAGCAGTTGATCAGATCAACAAAGATGCTCATCTCTTTATTGTACTTGAAGAATGCATTGACAAAACTAAAACAGAAAATGATGCCCTCTCATAGGACTATATATATACATGAGTTTTGCTAACCTACTACATCCCCATTTTTTAATTCTCATAAATGCCCTTACTACTTTCTTCCAACACATTTAAAATAGGGACATTTTCGTCTTTTTCATTTTCTATTATTTTTTCCCCTCATTCTCTCTTATCAAAGTCTCACGGAAGAAAGAGGAACAAAAAGAGTCTCACAGAAGAAAGAAAGACTATAAGACTGAAGTTTCTTTTCATCTACTAAGGCTAAAGTTGAATAATGGAGAAAACAAAGAACTCAATTTCATTCCTTGTTTAGGTGTTCATAGAGCAATTAGCGGCACCATTTGACCATTTCTTAACATACTACAAATAATTTTACAAGGAAGAGGATTGGTAATGTTTGATGTGACCGGAAAATGAAGTTGGTTCTACGTCCAACCATGATTTCCGACGAAGCGCTTGTTTCCTATGAGAGATAGCCAGGACGTAAAGACTCCGCTCTACTGGGTTGTTGGAACATTTCAGTGAAATCTCCATCCTGTTTCTATAAAATTTGAATGGGGATTTGGTCAATTAATCCCACTTTCAGAATACCCAAATCAACAGGACCACTTATTCCTCAGATCCCTCTCTCTCTCCATGTTCTCTTTATTGTTTCAGTCCTCTCCACAAATTAAACCAAACTGACAGCTCATTATTTCAGTCCTTTTAACTTGTCTCAGTTTAACTTTCATTTCTATTTAAAAATCAGTTCAAAGTAACTCAATTTGGCAGAAGAGAGGGATTATTTGAATCACCATTGACGAGGGAGAGAAGATAAGAAAAGAGGGGAATGTTTGGGATTAAATTTCGGATAAAAAGACAAAAAAGCCACTCATAGTAATGTGCTGTTGTTGTGCTAGCAAGGGCATTTAAGAGAAAGCAAAAATTAACCATATATATATATACACACACACACACACATAGAGAGAGAGAGAGACTCCATGAATATGCTACCATTCATAGAGCATTAAAAGAGTCCTTGAAATGCAAGTATGCAAGACCAAATCAGCAGTTGATCAGATCAACAAAGATGCTCATCTCCTTATTGTTCAATAAGAATGCAGAATTGCCAAAACTAAAACAGAAAATGATGCATATATATACACACACACACACACAATCTCTCTCTCCATGACTATACTACCATTCATATTTTACAGGGGAAAGAATACATAGGATAACAACTGCCTCACCTCCATCCCAAGGAGTATCATCAGGGCTGCATTTCAAGAATAAAACAAAAGAGAGAAAAAATGTATAAGCATAATGAAACTGCTGTGAGAAGAAACAGATATTCCAAAGTAAAAACAGCTATGAGTCACGACTGTCAGTCAATTTCATTGTCATACCCGAAAATGACTGCATTCCATAGCATTATATTGTTGTCATATGGAGCTCCACTGATGCCGGCCGGGGGATCCTGCTGTAACCGCTTAAAATCCCTCATCAGTCTCTTCCTCGCCGGTGTCGACATCCTCACCGCCTTATCAAAAAATTATACCTCAATAACTTGCTAAAGACTAAAGTCGACACAAAATCTTAATTTTCGAGTTTCTGGACCATAAAAGCGGCTAAATTCAACATGGAAGTTAAATTAGTCAATGGAAAATCTTAAATTTCCAGCTTCGTAGACCCGAAAAAAAAAACTATATTTGCCATGGAAATTAAATTGCTGTTGCAAATTCTGCCTCAATAGCTCACTAAAGTCAACACAAAATCCTGAATTCCCAGCTTTCTAGACCAAAAGAGCAATTGTCCGTGGAGATTAAACTAGACAATACAAAATCTTATTGTTCCAGTTTAGTAGACCAAAAGGCAAATAAATACGCCATAGAAATTAAATTAGTCGACATAAAATCTTAAATTTACAGCTCACTTGATTCACCATTGAAACTAAACAATCAATACAATAACATAACCTTCCAGTTTACAAGACCAACAGCAACAAGATTTTCCATGGAAATTAAACTATTCAATACACAATTTTCATTTCCCAGTTTTCTAAACCCAAGAAAGCGACTAAATTCTCCAGGTAAATCAAAATTTCAGCAAACCAAAGCTGTAAAACCAGCTCAAATCAGAAAAAGAAAGAAATAAACCTAGACGGCTAGATCCATACCAGTGTTTTAAAAGTCATGGGCATGAGGCGAGCGTTAACATGAAGCAAGGAGTAAGCCCTGAGACGCTAACACGAAGCAAGGCGTAAGCCCTGAGGCGCAGGGCGTAAGCCTTATGGATCTTTAATTTTGAATGTTTTATAAATTAACAAAATAAATATATAAGTGACAAAAAGCAAAAAAATCAGATTAAAATTGTAGAAAGTTCAAGAAAATCATAAAATAAGTTGGAAAATATTTATATTTATATAAACATGCTAACATGTGCACAACTATTACCAAAACAAAATGTACTTCGTAAAGATGCATTACATCCTAAGTTGCCCGGACTCGGGTGCGTGTGTTCAATAGCGTTGCGGATCCAGAGGTTGGGTCCTTCTTGATCTAAATTTTAAGATTCGGGAGTACGGATCAAGGTACAAATACGGGTGCAAGGATTCGGCTAAAAGTAATTCAAATATCTAAAAATAGAGTTATAAGGATATGTCTTAATTATGAGACATTATGTAAAAACCAACACGGTCTCTGAGAAGGAGAAAATATTGATCAACATATAAATTTCTATATACAAGATATTCCATTTTCTTCAATTTTATCCTAGCTTTTGTTTTTATTTAAGAAATCATTATATCTGTCCCGCATTTTTCGGTCGATTTTGGTCAAAATACCCAAAATTGGTTGACCAACTCTAGTATGGATCCCACACACCCATACCCACATTGTGTCAACATGGGTGCGGCAGCGAAAGTAAAGAGTCCGAGCAACTTAGATTACATCTATAAAAAGACTGATGGAACATATTTGAGTTGTAAAAATAATATTCTACTTCCTAATAATTCAAAATATAAAAATGACAATAGAATAAGGTTATTGTTTGAAAACCTAAAACTAAAAAAAAAAATCATAAATACTCATTATAACATGAATAGAATATTCTTTGGAATAGAGACTCGAGGATAGTATCTAAACTTGAATACCACAACAAATTCTAAAACCAAAAACTAACTTGAA